GTATTTTACTAATGTGATTGAGTCTAAATAAAAGGAAAAAAAATCCTAACAACTGGCCCAATAGTCCATGATAAATGGAAAAACAGATAAACGGGAAAAGATAGGTGTTCAGGATTTAATCTTGCTTGAATCCACAATCAGTGCTCATGGAAGCAATAGTCAAGAAATCAAGCAAGTATTACTTTCTGCATATCTGCTAGCACAAGACTTCTTTTAAGTGTTGAAGAGCAAAGGCATAACTTTGAGGACTAAAGTGTGCCTGACCCAAGTCATGGTAGTTTCAATCACATCATACGCCTGTGAAAGTGGACAGTGAATAAAGAAGGCCATTTAAATTATGATGTAGATAGACAAGGAAGATTGAAAGTATAGCGGGCTGCCAAAAGACCAAATCCACTCGTCTTTGAAGTACAGTCTGAATGTTCCACGGAGGGGAGGATGGCGAGACCATGTCTCATGTGCTTGGGACATGTTGTCAGGAGAGACCAGTTCCTGGAGAAGGACATCATTTTTGGTGAGAGAGAACAAAACCCTCAACCAGATGGACTGACACAGTGGCTGCAACAATAAGCTCAAACAGCCACTAGGAAATTGGCACAGGCCTGGGCAGGGCGCCCTTGTGCTGTGCATTGGGTCACCACAAGTGAGACCGCACTGCACAGCACCTAACACCAACAAGTGCGGGGCAGCTATTCACGTGGATGGCTACTGGAGCCATAGTCGTTATCATTTCCATCAAAGCCATGCAAACAGCTTGTATTTTCTTTTTCCTCCCAATAGGGCTGGGTAGATGAGTTACTGGAAGATGATGGTCTTAGATGATTCAGTTCTAAGTGATTGTAACTGGATTAGTTATGATCATAAAAAAGTTAGAACTCTGATTTGGGGACTGGTCAATTTTGCCATCCTGCTGTGTATAAAATGACCCCCCCCCCCACCAAGAGCAGAATGTGGGGAGGAAAGTACGTGCTTTGGACTCTGAGATTTCCATATGCTGAACTTTATAGACCCAGGAGACAAGCACGTTTGACCCCAGAGGAGCAGCACTGGAACCTAAGCCCAAGCATCGGGCAGAATTATTGGCTCCCTGGTCCACAGAGGAAAGCGGAATGCCTCTGTGCAGAGAACTCACTTGCCGAGTGAAGTGTCCCCAGGCATTTAGTCAGAGCAGGTAGGTTTGCTGACCCACGTAGTTACAGCAAAGGGCCTTTGGGCTGAGGGCTGATGGCAGAGTAGAGTGCCCTTTGGGTTTTTTTTTAATGCTTCCTAATGGTGGGCAAACGGTATAGAGTTTTCAAACTAAAGGGCCTAGGACAGAGTCCTGCTGTGAGCATGGCAGAGAAGAAGCTGCCCTGACCAAATAAATGCCTTCTGAATGTTTTGATCCAGATGGTAATATGTGGAGCTTTGTAATGAATCGGAGCTGACGGGATGACATCCAACAACGACGACAATACAAAACTTCTTAACAGTGTTATGTTTGAAAACATTTTGAAAAGAGACTTTTCTACAAATATTAGTGCTCAAAATGAATTCAGGAAGAGAAAGAAACCTGAAAGAAGGTTGAAACCTGTTGGACGTGGATCAGAACCATTTGACAGCACTTAACAACAGGTTATCTCCAATTGCGTCGGGTGGACCTCGGTTTAAGGATTTTAAGGCCAAAAAAGGCGGCTTCTTGGAGAAGGAATTCTGACTCCAGACTGTAACACAGAAAACCTGATAGACTTTCCAGCTTGCCGACTGGCCTGTGGGTTTCGCAGTTGCCAACCTCACGGTCTGTCAACCAAGTCCTTGCAACAAATCATTCTCT